TCGTGTGGTGTCGTGCGGTGTGGCGTGGCGTGGCGTGGCGTGGCGTGGGTGGCGTGGTGTGGCGTGGCGTGGCGTGGCGTGGCGTGGCGTGGCGTGTCGTGTCGTGTCGTGTTGTGTGGCGTGTCATGTGGCGTGTCGTGTGGCGTGTCATGTGGCGTGTCATGTGGCGTGTCGTGTGGCGTGTCGTGTGGCATGTCATGTCGTTGGTCGTGTCGTTGGTCATGTCGTGTGGCGTGTCTGTGGCGTGTCATGTGGCGTGTCGTGTGTCGTGTCGTGTCATGTCGCGTCCTGTTGTGTCGTGTCGTTGGTCGTGTCGTTGGTCGTGTCGTGTCATGTCATGTTGCGTCGCGTCATGTTGTGTGTATCAATAAAATACTATTATCGCCCTTGTGGCGCAATAACATGTACACTTCTACTGCATGCACCACGACAAAGGGTAAGAGTTAGTGAGTGACAATTTGCCGGCAAGTGAAACACGACCAATGCCACGCCACACGACGCACACACACGACACACAGTGGGGGGGGGAAACGAGGGGTGTACCTTGGCCTTGTTGCTCTCGCGGAGCGCGGTGATGTTGACGTCCTTGATATCGAGCTGCGCGGCAAGCGTCTTGCTGAGCTCCTCCGCCTCGGTCTTGCGGTCGTGCTGCCGCACCGCCATCTCCGCCTCGCCTGAGCAGAAGAACTCAAACGCCGTCAGTGCCTGACACAACACGACACGACCCCAACGACCCACGACCCACGACACAACACAACACGACCACCGACACAATACGACCAACGACACAACACAACACGACCAACAACACGACACGACCCACGACCAACGACACAACACGACCAACGACACAACACAACACGACCAACAACACACCACACGACACATCCAACACAGACAACCAACGATACGACCAAGAACACGACCACACGCGACAAGCGAAACATCCAATACACACGCGACACGCGACACGCAACACGCAACACGCAACACGAGAGAAGGAGAAAAACGCTGAAAGAGCGCGTGTGCGTGCGAGAGGGCAAGGAGGAGCGGGGGGGGGGATTGATGTACATAGGAGGGGGGAGGAGGAGGAACAAGCCCCGCCGCGTCTGCGAACTCTGGGGAAGAACAAGAACAGGAAGAAGACGACGACGACGACGACGACGACGAAGACGAAGAAGAAGAAGAAACGTGTGAGTGCCTTGCGGCGGAGGGATGAAGCACTACCACGACACCAACCACCACCACCACCATCACCACCACCACTCAACGGGCGACGCACGCCAAGTTGGCGAGGGTGGAGAGTACACGGAGGGTAGCTAGCTGTAGGAGGAGGAGGGGGGCGAGGCCTCCCCCAATTGGGAGTAGATGGATAGAAGTATATAATATGGATAGAAGTATATATATTTGTTGTTGACGTTTGAGGAGAGAGAGAGAGATGAGCAAATAACATACTTTTTTTGTTGTCGTCGTCCTCCATCTTAGAGGGTCGCCAAAACGCATCTTCTGCTGGATCTCACAGCGTGCGCGCCACTCGTGGGTTGATAGGATATCAAATGCGCCAACCAAGGAACGCTAATCACATCTTGTTGTTGTTGTCGTCGGCCATTGATGGCGCCGGCCATTCGGAAAACCCGCATCTTCTGCTGGATCGCACAGCGCGCTGGTAATGCGCCAACAAAATCATCTAGTTGTAACGTTGGTACTACCAATAGAAGAATCAATCATCAGTCGTGACGACGACGAGAACAAAATGCGAAGACCACGCCGGGGTGGGGCGGAGGAACACCGAGAATAGAAAAAAGCGCGCGCTCAGCGCTTTTATTATTTTGGTAAGTCGACGTTTCCACAAAGAAAAAGAGCCCAAAAAAGGGTCGAATTATTATTATTATATTATTATAAAAATGGCCAAAAATGCCACGTCAGCGAGGCGTTACCCCCCCTCTGCGGGTGATGGAACCAAACCGTACCAAACCACCATTCCTTTTTCACCCGGAGCTGCGCAGCGTGCGATTGGGGGGAGGGAGTCAATGCCGTCCTCTTCAGGAACGACAAGTTCGGGTACGTCCGTCGGGAGAGATCCTGTGTTGGATGCGATGATAGTGTCTCATCATCATCGTCATCGCGTGGTGGTGGTCGTGGTCGTGGTGGTGGTGGTGGTCGTGGTCGTGGTGGTGGTCGTGGTGGTGGTGGTGGTGTGGTGGTCGTGGTGGTGGTGGTGCAGGACCGGTATCGACAACGAGCTGACCGAGGGCTCCTACCCCAAGAGTGGTTTCATCCGTAAAAAAAAATCCTTCGATTCCTGCAGCTCCTCTGCGAAGGCCACAACCGCAAGATGCAGGTACACCTTCTCTTTTCATCATTTATTTACTATTCTTTTATTTACTATTTACTATTCTTCTACAGTTCTGGATGATCATCGCGCGCCGGAGTAGCGAGGGAGTGAGCGTGCTCCTATGTGGCTCTCCTTCGTGTGCCCCTACCTCACCTTCATCAACGCCTTCATGCTCGATTGGGACGCCATCAAGTGCAGTGTCGCTACCTCCTGTACGCACACTGCGCGCTGAGCTTTGTCTGTCTGTCTGCTCGTGTGTTGCTGATCTCTTGATGCAACAACGTATGTACGTATGTATGTAACGGTTCATATTTCTGTCTCACGAGAGACTGTTGGTCGCCATCATCCTGACCGCACGCATCGATTCGCTCCCATTCGCAGAGCTACACGGGCTATGCCTATGCGCTGGGTTTGATCTCATCCGTCATCATCGGGTTCGTGTGGCTGACCGTCGGTGGCCTCTCACGAGCTGGGCATCACCCACCCGCAGGACTAGTCCGCCCGCAGGCCTCCAACACCTACCGGACTCATCACCTGCGCCTCGCCGAGCGAAGTCTCCCGTGCACGGTCAAGAGCCAGATGCAGGGGCGCTCGTCGAACGTCGTGGTGACCAACGTGACCTGAGCGGCAACTTGTTCGCGGCCTCCTGCTGGGAGCACGTGGGCGATCGTCCCCCCCACCCCCCGCAGCACCGACACGGCCATCGTCAGCGCTGACCGGCCCCGTCACCCTGACCGCCTCGGCCACCGTGCAAAGCGCTTGCCCTCTCCAGCTCCGGCTCGCTTGTCATGCCGACCCGCGGCGTCACCCACACCACCGCCGCCTGTGACCGGCGTCACGACCACAACGGGGCAGCGATCAGGCGCCAGGTTGCCAATGGCGCGCTCGCTTGGTCGGGATGAGGCCGTGGGCCTCACCAAGGTCACCGGCTGTGTGGTGAGCATGCTCAGCGGTAACCACGTGGCCCTGGCCACGCGCGCACCTTCAACGCCCAGTCAGTCCACCGGCGGTGAACTGGGCCAGCGGCGCGGCGCTGCGCTGCGCTCCACCGGTTCTTCGGCCAGCGTCGCCTCGGGCGTCGTCGTCGTCGTGGTCAACTTCAGCTAGCTCCGCGGCCAGCGTGAGCGGCGAGGTCGCTGCGCCCAACCAATCGTCGACAGCAGCCAGGCGCTGGTCGTGTCGATTTGGATTGGGGGGGGGGCGAGGGCGGGGAGCTGGAGT